TACGGATCGCCGAATACGAATTACCGGATATTTTGTACTCAAACATTGCAGGCAGACCTTTTCATTATGGAGTACTTTCAAACGAAACCACCGAACATATTCTGTCATGTCATGACCAGAAATTGACGTTGCCACACCTCTGACCTTTTCAGCTTATTCGTGCAAGAACCTCAGCCGCTACTCACCTTGGGGAAGTATGTCTGAATGGTCGTCCGTCAGTATGAGACCATACCTTTATAACATCTGTTTCTTTGCTCGGTGTTTGGCCACGCTTTATACACCCTCGATTAGATTCAGCACCGGAGAGGAGGATGCCCGTAATAGTAACTTTCCATCGATGTACTGTGGATCGTCGAATATACTTTCAAGATCCGTGAGGCGAGACACATTGTCATAACCTATCACTGGGTCCCATTTTTCGTGATCCGCGAGGCCGTATAACCTCATCCAGAGTCAGGCTTGACACGATGCTTTAGTATATGAACCACATTTGATAGAATATGTCGGTAAACCTAGTTCTGCTATAGCGCCAACTATGTTGGCATCTATTCCTCGACTGCTAGCGACCTTTGCGCCCGTTGTATTTCCGCGTGGTGCTCTGCTACAGGTGTGACTGCAGAACAGGTTGTAATCGATTAACTTATTGAAAGTGATTAGTCACCCTAACTTGTTTTGCCTCCATCAGCCCGGACAACAAGTCTTCCTGCGGCCATATTTAACTGTACATGCTGGAGAAACGTCTTCTCTCTCCTTTACTTAACTCGGTATTGTTACCTCCGGGGATTAAATGTAATTTGTCTGGCCTGGTTCACGCGTAGCAAGCAGATGTATCCAGCGTAACTTCACCTTGTGACAGACATTAGACCATTGGCACTGCTTTTCTTAGCTAACCTAAAGATTGGGTTTAAAACGGTTGTCGGATATGTCTGGGGATGTCTGTATTACAGAGGAGTCCCAGTGAAGTGTTAGTTTGCTGAAGTTATATATACCTGCTCCCGTTGCGGAGTGTGCATATACATGGGCAGTCATCTCGCTCGTTCCCCACTCTAAGTAGCGCTTGGCAAGAGTGTCTGATCTTCCATTTCCTTCTCAACCATGTGATAAACGATATTCTGGAAGGGGTATTCAGAAGTTGTGAGGATCTTAAAGCGGAGCTTCTGTCAGATGGTAACTTGACTGATATTAGGTATATGGACGACAGAGAAAATGTTGATCGGATTCAATGATATGACTGGTATCTACTGTATGCGCTCCACACCATGAAAGCGTAGCGCGTTTGTTATTGCAAGCAGGTCACTCGAGGCTGTCTATCGCTTCATCTATGCGTGTAGTGTCGTCTCATCAACTTGCAATATTGCTGACGTGATGTCCACGTGAATAGCTGAAAGCACATAGGGTATTAGCCAATCTTAGTCACTTGTGACCTCGTAAAGACCATGTGTGTGCACTCAGTTTCGCTTTATGGATCATAAATTTGGTCCATTCCTGTGGACGATGCATTGAGACTCTCAGTCTTCGATCACTGTTATCCTCACCAGTCAGCCTGCATCAAATGGGCTGGCTGTAAGGGCAACGTGACATTCCATGGACGCGTATTTGGTAAATGTGAAAGTTCACGACCGATAGCTAAACTAATGAAGGCGCGCTGTCTTCGCTGTTTAGGCCACGCACTCGGTGTGCCCACGAAGCACCCACTGCACCGTGCACTGTTCAATGTAATTGCTGATGGCTAGAAGAAACCGTAAGGTGACCAGGCAACGACTTAGTCTTGAGCTATGAGAGCCTTGCTTTTTCGGCTGAGTATCATTAGTAGGTGCCATCTACCTAGTTAGGGAGTTCGCAAACATCCACGCGGTTGGCTGGAAACACTCTGACATGGTAATGTGTTGTAGTCAGTAGAGAGCCTGTATCCGCCGGGTTGTTGTTTCTTGTTTTTTCTTGAAGCCATCATCTTATCTATATATTTTTACTTATTTATTACCATATTACTTCATAGATTATTGTTAAGTCAAATAGCCGACCGAGCCATAGAACTCATGGGGACGGTTTAAATTTGGAAATTGTGGTGATGAAACTCTTACTGTGAGTATTATGCTGCACGCGATTTTTGCATTTTTACCGTCGTTGTTTGCTTTGCGCTTTTGTACTGATTTGTGTAAATGAACTTTTTCCATATCATAAGAACGAACCGTTACTTAACACCCGTTTATTCTTGATGAATTCATAACCGAAGTTGTAGGAATTATGGCGATAAACGTTAAAACCACTTTTTCATTTGATCTCTCCCATTTCGTTTTGGAATTTTAGTTGATCATCTCGACTTATTCCCCACAAGTGATTCAAGACAGATTGGGCTTGGATTTATTGCTTTGCTTTCCCAATCGAGAATTGGACCGTATAATTTTAGCGAAAAGTCGTTCAATAAAAGATCTTCATTGTCCAATTCGCACGTTTGACGTCGCTCGTACATTCGCTTTTATGTGCCGGAATTCTAGTTTGCAATGCAGAGATCTTCACTTAAACATAGTGTGTACCTCTCTCCGGTTCTATGCGTTTGCTAACTTTCTTTGTGATAGACTTTCGCCCATTATTTCACGCTCGTTGGCATGATTTCGTTCAGTGATGACCTATTTGATCTGTCGTATTTACTGCGATCCATTTGTTACAGGATTTGACCATATGCCACCGCCGCGTTAAGGTATCTCATAGAGTGTAGAAATAATCGCTTCTCCGATTTAGACACTTCTTTCAGTGTCATCGTACACTTATCGAGTGAGTATCTCGCCAATCGGGTTTAGATCGGCATCTCATTTCATCACGTGCTTCCCAAGAAGAGAGCACTGTATTCCTCTAAGGTTGTTTTAGGGATACCTTTTTCTGGTATCTTTAATTTATTTCTCTTGCCACTCGGGTTGTCTGAATTGATCGAGTGGTCAAATGATCGTAGTCTGTCTGTGAATACATCAGGATATGCAGATATTTCGTTTCTGCCTGTTGATCAGCACGCGGAATTACGTGCCCGAGACGTATCCACTCTCGGATGGTTGCCGTTTACTTACATTGGAATGGATTTATGCGGTAATACTCACTAGTCTCTTCTTATGAATGAGACTCACTTTTTACGTAGCTCGTTTGTAACCATTTTCTACCACCACCATCTCATTTGAAGATTCATTAAGTCTTGTTTACCTACTCATTTGACACACCTGTTCCGTAGTTTCCCTCGTTTTTTGGGGAATTTTTCAAGCTGTTGAACATATCCATAGGGCCGCGGACCCGATGTTACGACATCACGTACAAGTAGTATCAACGTCAACTTCGAATGATGTAACCGGTTTCCTGATGAACACCTTCCTTTAGTTCCGGATCTGTCTTGATCATTATCCGGTTGTTTGCCACTAACCATCTATAAGCTCCTGTGCGTTTGTACC